CTTTATTCTTAAACAGTATAACCCAGTTAAATCAACAGCAATGCATGGGAAGAGCTGAGAAAGAATTCAGTACATATACCATGAACTTGAAGTGCCTGTATATCTGAAAACTCTTTACAAAACCATAAAGTTGGTTTACAAAACCATAAAGGATTTACAAAAAAAAAATAAAAAAGATGAAACAAACAGCTTGGTCTTTTTTAAGGTAACAAGCAACTGATGTGGACTCATTAAATATTTAATGTTGAACAAAAATAAACTGATCAAATAAATGGCACAAACCCGGCAGTGCATATACAAACTTGTCCTTTGTACGGTATAGAGTGCAGAAAACTGAATTATATGTTAGTTGCAAGGGGTTTTGTGAGCAGGAGGCTAAACCTTGAGCTATCTTAAAGAAAAAAGAAAAACTGTATGGTTTAAATTTTACCTCCTGACTACCAGCTATGGAGTTTTGTCCTCTGTAGAGGACATAATGTTTTAGCAATTTCTCTGAGACGTTACATGTCACAGTTTTACTTCTGGATGTCCTGTACAGAGCACATTCAGGGCTTTTCAGAGATACCAAATGATTGGATGTTTCACCATGACCACTCCCTCTCCTTGGTCTTTAAAAATGGCTGACATTAATTTAGTGATCAAGTGTAACACCCTTATGGAAATATGATAGTATTTTGTAATTATCATTTAAATCTGACTAATTTTCAAAGTGTTTGTCATAAATCGACATCTCAGGAAAATGTTATGGGGTTTCAAATCAAAATATGAGCTTCTGTTATGAAACAGGACATCAATTTCATGCATGTCCACTGTAGAGGACACCAGGACTTAAAGCATGTTTATTACACATTTTAGGAGACACAACAAATTAATAGAGAAAAAAATATATATCAATATTCCTATTAAATATTAAATATTCTTAGGAAAATCTTGTTAATTATTACACCCATTATTTCACTTATTTGTTCATTCTATGTTGCCCCAAAAACACATTGATACGCAAATTAGATACAGTTTATATATGCACTGTATATAATGGACAAACTCATTTATGGCCATTTTACACACATTTTGCATAAAGAAAAATGGTTTGTAAAATTATCTTTCATAATATAGTTGAGAATCATCTTTATATAAAGTTTGGTATAAAAAATGAAGAAAATTGATTTCTGGTTAAAACAAAAATCCCACTCTTTTTGCCTTTTCATGTCTATTCATGTCTTTTTATTTCTTAAAAAACAGGACTTTTTAAAGTCCCGATGTCTTCTACAGAGGACATGGCATAACATATGAATAAAATATCATTTTTCAAAAATCTTATTTTTCTAATTTGTTCTTATGCTCTAAACAATGTAATGACATGACAACATACTAAATTCACAAAACTGTTTTTTTCCCTGGTAGTCAGGAGGATATACAGGCGACTAATATTTAGTACTGCCGCTTTAAGAGCTGCACGCATCTGTTTTTCTCTCAACTGTTTACTTTCACTTTAGACATAATTAACTGTGTTTATATGAAAAACCTTGTGTGATTTTGACAGTTATCTTAATTATCGTCTGATTGCGCTAATACTAAGTAATCAGGTGCTGTTTGACCGCCCTTTTAGTGTACGCACGCTTCGGGTGTACGCGCTCTGAATAAGCACATGTTAGAACAGCACGCAAGTAAAACGTGTAAAGCACATGTGACGACCCCGGGCTGGACTCCGCTTCGTCCACGGTGAAAGCCGATCCGGTGATCCACAGCGCGAAGTTGATGTATTTCCTCAGCGACCAGCACGGATCAGCTCTAGGCATGACGAAGTGGATATCGTCCTCTTTTGAAAGGCCAAACAAAGTAGTTTCGCTTTCACAACGAAACACACAGCGCCTTCACGACATGACAGCAGCAACAACAATACTACAGCGAGAATAAAAATGATGCCTTCTTTCTTTGCGTGAACATGTGGGTGGCGTTATGCAGATCTTCCCACATCGTGACGTAGACATGTG